AAATATGTTTGTAGACCTGCAGCTTCAGGCAGGAGCCCACACTACAGATTAATCTATACAAAGCTGAAGTACAATGCCATGGAATCTGTGCATCCAATAGCTCCAGGTGACTTGAATAAGTGAGCCAAGCTACACTCTTGAGTAACTGAGCCAAGCTCCATCAGAGCCTTAGGCATATGGGTTCACTTCACTTTTCTAGTAAGCCTTGACATTAATCTATGGGACCCTGATCTAGGATTTATTATTTATGCATATGCTGATTTTCTATCACACCCAAAATGGCTTACAGATTAAGGATGCTTTTTAATTAAAATGCGATGAGTATAAAAATATAAGTAACACACATCACCAGAACTATGTGTGCAAACCTATGCATGTCTGCAAAGAAGTAATTCCCATTGAAATCAATGAGACTTAATCTCAGGAAAGTAGGTAGACAATTGCATCCCCAAAAATGTTACACACTAGTAATTGTCAAACTGAAAGAAATTAGATGATCAAAGCCCTTTGAAATAAATGTGTATTCAAATTCTGATTTAAAAGATGGAGGAAGCCTGCAAGACTTCAATGGGAAGTCCATTAGAGAGCCAAAGTACCATGCCTAAAAAGGCCCCCATCTCTCATGCTTACCAAAGAGATACCTTAAAATGACACCAACAGCATGGCAGCCATGTAACAGCAAGTGGTCCCTATAGCAATGTGGTCCTGAGTCATCTGGAGCCTGAAAGGCCCACACTAGTACCTTGAACTGGACATTGACACAACAGATACAAGCAAAAGCAAGAGTTAGATGCCTTCTATCCCTAGTCAAATGTATTCCAAGCAGAACTAAGACTGATCCAATCACATTTTCTAAGTGATTCTCCTGCTTCCCAGAGGTCAACCCCATTTTATTGGGAAAGCATCTAGGTTAGCAGATGTTTATTACATTAGGTGGGTTTTTTTCTAGCTGCTGTCCTTGATGCTATTAAAACTGGACAATGCTACAATAAAATCCTTAACTTGTTTTTTTAAACATCTCTGATATGGAAAGTATCAAAAGCTTGACATTTGTCCCCAGCACAATTATTTCTGGACTTTAGACACATTCTGTCACCCACCAGCGCAACTCCATCAGAAGGCATGGCAAAGGAGGTATATAAACAGGGGAGGAAAGGATGTGTGAGGACAAAGGTGGGTGTAAGTTGAAAGCGATGGAAAGAAGAAAAAAGCAAAAAGAAAGTGCACGAGAGAGAGACTGAAAGCCAGCCAAGAAAGAAGAACCCATGGGCTCTGAGGAGCATGATATATGCTCATTCTTACCACAAACCAGAAGTATGTTCCCGTTTGAAATGGTTGAATCCACAGCTGTTTTAAAATCCCTTGGTACTTCTGAGACAAATGATTCAAGTCAGACTGTGCTAACAGGGTCAGCCTGAGAGCCAAGAGAGAGCTGTGACTGATGCAGAACCACGGCAATTCCATCCCTTTTCGCATCAATCACTGCTCAGTGGAAATCCGGGGGGGACCGTCAGGCGCTGGTACAATACTGTTTACATTAGAAGATGATGTAAAGCTCCTCCTGAGATCCTTTCCGGGTGCCGCTGGATTATAATCCGAGCTAACTGGACAGACATAGGTTGTTATTACAGCTGTGGGAAAGAGCTGGAAGGCACCGGGGAGCAGCATCCTCAATCCACAGTTGTGAAAGGACAAGCCCCGTGTTCTATCAAACCATCTCATTGTGTCATCTCTACAGGGCAAATATTATCTCTTCATTCCAATTACTAGGAAGAGCCTCGGGTGAGTGTATGCCCCAGACACCCTCCACAGTAGCTGCTCCTGAAGTCGCTGTAGCTGCTAAAAGAGCCTGAATGCATTTCTTCACAGTAGCCATTTTAATTCACTTCAAAAGGGGGTTACTGTCAGTAAAATCATACTTTTGCTCTCTGAGTCATGCCTTAAGGTGATAAACTTGCCCTAAATGCCAGAGCTGATCTTTCACAGAATGTTTTCTCTTTTTTTCTCCTCCTGCCCATCCCCATTTCGATGACAATCTCCACTAGAAAAGCAAATGAGGACCTTTGAGAGGTGTGTATTTGTGTATATGCATGGAGTTTCAAGGATTAGGGTTTTTAAGGAACCCTTCCTTATAAGGAATTATAAGTGAACAATAAATGCCCTATGCAGAAATACTCAATAGCTCAATGGCAAACACAGATTTTGCATGAGGAAGGCCCCACTTCAATCCCAGCATCATCAGATAAAAGGACACACAGGTAGCAGGTGAAAAGAAAGGGTTCTGCCACAGACTCTGGGACTGAAACAGTGGGCTGGGTGGTCACATAAGCTCTCCTGGTGTTTACTTTGGTGTTTTAAAGCAAAAAAGTGCCAGCTCATCTCCCCTTGCCATTTGCAGCACCTCAAGATTAATCAATCCCTGCGGGTTTCTCAAAACCTGATTTTATGGCTCAATTTTCAGGTACAGAGTTCCACAGTAGCAGACAAACCACACACACACATACAGATTTTCATCCTTTTTGCTTGTATACATTCAGGAACAACACACCAAGATGCTGAATGCTCTTAATTGCCCAGCAGTGGCAGAAAGTGAGTTGGCAGTGCTAGCTTCAACCCACACAGACTGATTCTTCACCTCATCATATGTCTGCTCAGGCATTTGCTTGTCATCTGAACAAACTGCATAGCACTTGGAAATTCCATAAAAACTGCAATCAGTTTGCTAGGTGTGTTGTTAAAATGTCTTTTCTCTCATCCAGGTCTTGTTGAAGAATCAAATAATACTATGAGAAAGTAGTAGTACTGGGGGCAAGCATTACTCTTTCCTCTTCCTGACCTTTTATGTGTTAGGATCTTTATCTATCTACCAGGATCCTATGCACAAAACCTTAACAAGAATATCCATTATTACCAATGGCATGAACAGCAACCACAGCGTGGGGTTGCCATTTGAGGCGAACAAAACTAATACAACCACCCATGAGGTCCCAGATCTAATTTCATGGTTCTTTAGATTCAAGTGTAGCCCCACATTAAACCCACTTTATATATGAACAGGGCAGAGAGGACACAGCAATCATAAGAGTCTTCATTGTGTCTAATTTGGAAAGCATCCTCTCTTTTACTTAACTCAACATACCACACTGCTGATGAAGTAAATTCTTCACTTATCCATGGAGTAAGTGATGGTGGAATAGGATGGTGAAAAATGAAAAAAAAACCTGGGTTGTTTTACTTCAGACTGGGGCAAGTATTTTTGAAGATTCCAACATAAAAAACAAAACTGAAAAGGACATTTAGAACAATCCCTTCAATGAAATGATAGCTTACTACATGTAGGGAGTTGTGTGTGAGAATTTTAAATGTTCATCTATATTAAAAATGATTTTTTTGCCTGCATTTAGAAGTGGTACACTCTGGAATTTTTACACTTCAGACTACCACCTTATTCTTCCATCCACAGACCCTATCTTTCGTCCTTGCATTTATTCCTGCTTGCATTCATATGAACATAAGAAGCTGTCTTACACTGGGAGTATTCACACATCAGGATAACCCTCGTAATAAGCCAGGCTAGTTGTTGTGTGAACAACTCACAGTGTGCGCAATAGACAATTAGGCTCACTGTCAATAATTCACCACTCCCCTCCTCCTTCCCTCTTTGTCTTCCTGTGGAAATCCTCAGGGACCTGGCAGCAGGATTGATTTGCTTCCACCTTCCCCTCTTCAACTTGGTTTGAGCTCAGTGCAGCTTTTTGCATCCCCCCCGTGCCCCCCCCCCCACACACAGACTTTTCAGAGAGTGTGAAAGCCAACTGTCAAGCTGTCTTTCGCAATCCCTGTTTTGACAGCTACTGACCTTTGGTTGCTCAGTGATTTTTTTAGAGAAAAAAATGGTCTCAATAATGTGCAATAAAGATTTACATTTTTGTTGTTGTTTTTGCTGCAGTTGTACAACTGCAGGCATCTGGACCTGCATGGATGTGGTAATGGGGAGCCATAGATAAATTTATTTCCCCCTTTGCTTCCATTTGACAGCAGTCAACATGCTAATTGCTGAATGTAGCCAAAGACATGACTGATCTTAACTTGGGAAAAGGGATGAGGTTTTTATTTTGGGGTGGCTGTTTGCTTAGGACATTAATGTCATATGGGTGCTCTCACCTTTCCCTTGTTCCCAAGGTTCTACAAGCTCAGGAACATGCAAAAGTGTGACTCACTCCACTTATATGAGTAGTTACTTTTGAAAGCTGCCAAAAGCTATCCATGTTAAAGTGGGATTTATACTTGTATAGATTCCTGCCAAAAATAATTTTTAACTCCTTCTAACTCCCACTTTCTTTCAGATTAAATATAGCAACTTCTTTTTACATTCCTTGCACTTCTCATTATATCTAACCATAATAATAAGTGTATGAGATATAAATTAATTTATAGGTTATGGCTGGTTTGGCTCTTCAAAATATTTTACAAGAGTAATGAAAATGCATCTTACAAATGAGTGTGGAGACTTTTAGGACATGATAGCTTTGGTATATCTCTGCTGGGGTACATGTTTTATCTGACAAAATACATGAATGTAACAAGTAAGAAGTGTTGTTGATACCTTATGTGATCCCAGAAGCTTTCAGTATCTTTGAAAGTAAGACTGGGCAAACTAAGTAAGACTTAGTTTACTCTGAGCAATATCTATTGCTTGTTTCATCCACATATGATGAAAACTGAGCCCTAAAGCAGTTTTACAGAGGTTGCTACTCCCTAAACAGTTG